TATAGCTACTAGCTAGAGGGGAAATCCTTACGCATCTAGCTTAAGTATATGCTAAATAATTACCTACTTTTTGTTATTATTTAGCTTTTATAGGTTAGCTATATAATTAGCTTAGAAAGGTTGTCTAGTATGTTAGTTACTTGTTATTTTTTAAAAAACTCTATAGATAGCTGCAGTGTGTTACTTAAAAAGTGTTATGTTTTATTTAAAAGCCTAAAGCATAAGCTGCATCTAATGTTTCTTTAACACATTTAAGTAGTGTTGTTAGAAATGCATTAGTGTAAAAAAAGCAGTGTAGTAAGGTTTTAGTAAAAGTAAGTAACTTAAGTATATAAGTAACTTACTTATAAAGTATGTTAATAGATTTATTAAGTGCTACTTAAAGCTTAAAGTAAAGTTTAAGTGTAAGTATAACTATAAAAAAGCTTTTTATAAAAGTTTTATAGTAATTTAAAGCTAGTTTAACTTTATAAAGAATATTAAAGCTAAGTATAGCATCTAGAATAATAACATGTACAACTTTAATAAGATAAAGTTTATAATAGGCTAAATATCTACTAAAGTAGTTATTATAAGTTTAGAGAAACAAGAATAGCTAAAAGCAGTTTAGCTAGGCAACTAGAAGTAGATAATAGCTATCTAAGGCATTAATGCTAAAAAGTAGGCTATTCTACTTTTTATTATTTTTAGAGTAGTAATTACCTTTTTAACTAGTATAAAAAAAATTTACTTTAAAATTAAGTTATTATAGTTTTTAAGCATAGCTAGACTACTAATTAGCTTAGTCTAGACTAGTTAAAGCACTTTAACGCGCATATAAAGAAGTGTACTATTAGTAGCTACTATCTGCTAGTTATTAATAGCTATAAAAGCTATAACTTACTTTATTTTTTGTAATACTATAAAGATAATAAAATTATTACTATTTATATACTTTTTTACTTATTACACTTTTTATAGATACTTAATATATAGCTAGACAACCTGTAGTGAAAGATCTAGCATTAAAATATTATGTAAATCCTTTCCTAGACAATGTACAGGTAAGGTGCATAGAATTCGAAAATATTTCCTAGATTTAGGCGACAGCCTTAACGTTAGAGATGTGTGAGATTTGTAATAGGGTCTGTCTAATTTAATACCCTTAATTAACTAAACTATAGTTCTAATATGCAAGAGCAAAACAAGTATACTAGAGAATGTGTTCTTATCTCTTCTTAGATAATAAGTAAAAGCTTAAATAATTAGAATAGTTACCTAGGAACAAATTATCCTTAAAATATCTACTATGCTAAGAAATAGTAAAGTATTTCCATGATTGGCTCTCTACATCCCACCAAGCCTCTGTGATTGAAGCAGGAGAAGTGGTGCTTTGATAAACAATCTTGAGAACAGGCGCACTAGAAATGCTCAACCCACTCTGCTCATGCAACTTCGGAACCGCACTTCCTAGGGATCCATAAGCCCAGATACTGTCGAAAGGATGCATGATAAGCTCTCTTAGAACACGGCTCTTTTTGTTGTCAGGGTAGAACAGATGTATCTGAATAAAATAAAGTTATGTTAGCAATCTAAAAGGGTAACTTAGTTGGGGGAAAGAGTTGCTTACTTTGCCGTCACTAGTTCGAGCAGATGCAAGCGGGGCGTTTTGGATGTTGGTGGTGATTGTGGCCGAGTCTACTGTGATGACGTGATTGCTATAGACGTGTACCCCTCCTGCGAGATTCATCTTAAGAAGGTAGGAAAGGGTTTGGCTGTCGGCATTCCAGTAGAAGATATAGGTTTGATTTTGCGGATACAGATAGTCAAGGACAGATACTCCAAGGAGGTTTTTCGTTGAGGCGTCGATCCCGCAGGTATAGTCCTCTGACGCCTGTGACTGCTTGGCAGGGTTAATAGGGGTTACCCGTTAGGACCGAGTGCTTGTAAACTTACTACAGCCTGGTAGTTTAATTGTTTTGGAACCATGCGCTGGAATGGTCGGACGGCTGCGGTCAAAAGGTATACGACCAAAGGGGACTCGGCACTGTCGTATTCGACAGTCATGTGCCCCTTTTCGCCTTCAGCTCCATGGTCGGTGAGAACTCCAGTCGTTTTGTTCCACGATGCAACACGGATGGGAGGAGACGTCATTCCCGGCTTTGCTCTTAGTGCGATTTGTTGCAGCGCTTGATCTTCTGTCTGTATGTCGGGGATTAGGTAGTTTATGTCGCTCGTTACCTTGTATAGTGGCACCTTTAGGACGCTGCGGTATAGCTCTGGAAGGCTTCTGATAGTGATAAATCCCAGATTTGCACTAGCCATGTATAGGAAGTTAGAGCTCCCATCCCACTTAAGGCCTGTACTCAACGTCCATTCTCCATAGTCTTTTAATGTTTTCCCATCATTTCCTGATACTAGCATCATGTTAGTTGATACTTCCTGCAGCCGTATAGGATTGTATACGGATTCTGTGCCGACAGTATTTGGCTGAAACCCCTTGATGGCCACTAGAGCAACATACTCCAGTTGGAGAGGAGTTTCCGGATTCAATCCGATTCTCACCCGCTCTTGGTATGGTAGAGCTTGAGATGAACCAGGCATGTAGTCTTGGAGGTTATATGCAGCGGTCCCTAGGCTTTCTTTGTATGCAGATTGTAGAACGAGATCTCCAGAACCATCAATGTCTAGAAGTGTCACGGACATGTCGTTATTGAGCCAAGTGAGTCCCGGGATCAGACGGAAGGTAGACTGGCCAGGGAAGAGGATGATATCTGTAACTGCTTCTCCTGAGCCAGTTGCTGTGTCGAGAATCACAGCCACTCCGAATACCACGCTCGTAAGATACAATCCAGTGGCAAATCCAACCGTGAGGAATGGAACACCAAGGACGGTCAAGAACAAGCCCAAACCGCCTAAAACAACATTCTTCAAGCTCTCGGCGCCGCCAGAGCTATAGATCGAGACAATTATGACTCTCTCTGTGTTGTTGCATACCGTTGAAAGAACGTCGATAGAGGGCGCGAGCTGGACGTTCAACGCAGGAAGGCGTTCGACTACGGCAAATGCCTGGATCATGCTAATGGAAGAAGTTGTTGAATTGTCAAACTTCATCGTCATGTTAAGATCCTTCCTAGTGCCTGAAATAGTACCGGAGAAGATGTGAGAGTCCTCGCTGGAAAATTTGATTCTTTGTCCCTCGGATAAAGCATCAGATTCATCGAGGGCACATCGAAGGTTAAAGTTGGTCTTCCCCTCGCCATCCTTACATTGCCAGTAGGTGCAGACTGGATCCCCGACTCCAAATCGATCGGGAAGAACCACGACACACAACTCATTCTGGACGCTCTCCTGGTACGAGAGATTTCCCAGATAGATAACCCAGGTAAGGCCCGCAAGGGGAGACTCCGTGAAAGAAGCCGCTCGATCAACGTACGAAAGTGGATCACAGAGGATGTCGGAGGATTCTTCTTTCGTTGTCACAGATAGGCTAGTGAAATCATTACGGCCACCCGTACCAACTGCATCAAAGGAATAATCTTTGCCGTGACAAAAGCCAATTCTTGGAAGGCCATCCCGGTCTGTGTATAGGCTATCAATGAAGCCAGCCTGTGTGGCGGTTGTTTTGGCTTCCGTTAAACCGCCGTCTTCATCCTGGGAACCTGTCCATTGCCAGCAGACAAAGACAGGCTCGCCAACAGTGACAGAGGTGAGGAAAATGATGGTGAATCCTTCATCGTCGGCGAAGAATGATTGGCCCCGAAGGCTGAGTTTGCCTCGAAAGATGTGCATGATCTACATGTCTATTAGCAGTGGACGACACACAATCTTAGGGCTTGTGTTCAACCTACCCGAAAAACTCGTCCTTAGACTATCAAACACAGATCTGATCGTTCACGATAGTTATTGTGTGAAGCAATGCAGCTGAAGCGTGCATCTGGAGGCAAGATTTTGTATAAGATGTGTGGAGCGTTTGTGGTTCTGAAAAAGAGGGGATCAGATGGGTAGCAGAAGTTACGGCAAACTCTGGAGCAAATGAGGCTGAAAGAACCAAGCAATTGTGGATTGAGATGGTAGACAGGATGACAAATTAAAAACACTCTAAATACTAGGCCACGTCATCTTTGTCTTCAGTGATTTGGAAATCTAGCTAATTCTATCCATAAGCCTAGTCTCTGATATGCAATTCAAGTGGGGTTTGAAAGGTGGTTCTCCACTCTATTTGCTAACTTCCGTTTTGGATTCTTGCTCTCAATACTTTCAGGGAAGAAGCGGCAGCCACAAATTTACAACTCGGTTGCGGCATCCACAACATGAACACAGGCCTTCTTCGATCAACCATGCATGATTGTGCTGACGGGTGCATCAGAGAATGATGAAAGAGAGGCCAACAATGTACCAAGTGGGGAAGATAGGGGCGCAACTCATTCTCTTTGGCAAATAAGAATTAAAGGTAGAGACATGGGATGGGCTCCGACCTAGTCAACTAGCCGGTTGAATCCATGCCACAATAATATTGACGCAGAATTCAGACGGAGGAGGCCCCAGCATTAGCGATGTTCGCATGCGTAGGATGTCTGCGGCGCCTACCAATGATTGCCCTAGGTGGCGAAATTTAGAGTCGTACACGGGAGGGGTCTTTGCATGATGGCTGCACGACTGGAAAGGATCGTTAGGCTTCCGCGTGAAGGGATAAAATGGCGGTGATACCCTAAGTCCTCTACTTACCCGCTTATAGGCCACCGTTCAGAAGCGTATGATTTGATGTGAATTAATAGCCTAGTCTGCATGCCTGAGGCGCCTGCCAATGCCACCCCAAAACTCCCCGTGAAAGTATATCCCTAGAGGACTT